AGAAGGAAACTATAAATAATTCATTAATTAATATTAGGGAATAATTGAATTCAACAGCAAAATATTAGTTAAATAATTTAATAATAAAACCAAAAGATTTTAATTAAACTTAGTTTATAAGGATGATTTGCAATAAAATAAGTTTTATAATAATTTCAATATATATCAAATAAAAAAGAATAGAACATTTTTGCAAAAACTAATTACTTTATTAGAATAAGCAATTCTCTTACCCAATCCGTACGTACGCTTCAATCCGGCCGGATACACGAAGTATCTGTAAAGCACATTCACGTTATTCACGGTACTTATGTGAGGTTTTTCACTCTGTACAAACGCACTCGATTCAACGAATAAGTAGTTGATCAAAAAACGAATTGCACTTTTACGTAATATATTTTACTAACGCTAAGACAATACCCTACACATTATATACCGACTTTTTTCTACTTTTTTATTTTATTGTATTATATTAATAATAATAAAAAAAATTGCGATGTGATACGCGGTTAAAGTGATAAAAATTGGGTGCGGCTTCCGTAGAGCTGAACTCTTCATGGCGCGGTCCGCAATTCCCCCTTCATGACTTTAACTACCAACCCGCATGGCCAACTGAGAACTAGCCGGTTGACGTCATCAATTATCTTGGAATAAAAAATGTAATTTTGTTCAAATATTATATTTAGGCATTTAGGTTGTTCATAATCATTTTAAATTATATTTTCCTGAGAAAACATGAATAGATTACTCTTTTCAAATATTTTTTAAAATCGTTTGAATATTGTGTTTTAAATATGGTATGGAAAAATCTAAATTAATATGCTAAATACTAAACTATGACGTCATTATAATGAAATTCTTGATGGGAAAATTAAATAATGCATGGAACATCTACACAATATGTAGTTGCTACATATGTAAACAACTTGATTATTAAAAAAGATTTTAAAAAGTGTTTATACTAGGTATTACAATAATATATTATAAACAATATTCAATTTTGATACGCTTTTGCCATGAAAGAAAAAAAATATACGACGACTTTATTTTTCTCCGTAAAAATTACAATACTAAATTATTTTATATCAATTTCATAATAAAACTAATAATAAGTATATATTCTTGTGAGACAAACAAAATAAAAGTATAGGGGAAATATGAAAAAACTGAATATGGCGTTTATAGATTTAAAGAAAATGTATGATAGAGTACCGAGAGAAATTTTGAGGTGGGCATTAATAGGAAAAGGAGTTTCAAAAAGGTACATCAATATAATAAAAGATATAGTGTTAATAGGAGAAAATAGGGAGGAAAAGCTAATGGTGTGGAGATCAGCTCTTGAAGAATGAGGTTTAATAATAAGTAGGATATGATAGAATATATAGAAATCTATACCTTAATGACCCTTCCCATGAAGATAACAAAATAAAATATAATTAGAGCAGAAAAGGAGCAAGTCGAACTTTTAAGAATGAAAAAGAGCCTATACGAAATACATGTTGGAAGAAGCAGAAAAATATCACAATGAACAGAACACGCATCAATTGTACAAAAAAATTAATACATTGAAAGGAAGTTACAAAAAATATGAAAAGTTCCTAATAAAGGAAGATAGAACACTAATCACTGCCCGATCAGATATTATAGAAAGACGAAGAACATATTTCGAACATCTTCTTAACTGCAACGACCCTATAAAAACCTTTACTTGGACAAGGACAAAATCCAACCGAAGCGAATATGCAGCACCGTCAAAACAAGAAGTTGAACTACAAATAAAGCAATTGAAAGAAAAACTATAAATAACCTGGTAAGAACGATATACAAGGCCAGATTATGAAGATGCTAAACGAGGATTCATTAAAACATATACATAAGTTATTAACCCATATTTGGGAAAAGGAAGTACTACTGGAAGGTTGGAATGTTGCAGTCGTATATCCAATCCATAAGAAAGGCGACCAACAAATATGTAATAATTACAGAGGAAAAGCATTATTGAATGTGGTCAACAAAATATTGTCTTATTGCATTTTAAATAGGGTTAAACCCATAGCGGAAGAGACTCTGAGAGATTATCAAGGTGGTTTTAGACCCATTAGGTCAACAATGGATTAAATCTTCAGCCTAAAACAGATCATAGAAAAATCATGGGAATTCAATAAAAGCATATGTATACTATTTGTGGATTTCAAAAAATCGTATTACTCTGTCCACCGACATAGCCTATAGTATAAACATACCAAAAGAGTTTAAGCTCTCAAATAAACTAATAAAATTAATTGAGGCCACTATGCAAAATACGGAAATTAAAATAAAGATAGCATCACAAAATGTCAAAGCTAGCAACGGTAAAGACAGTCCTAAAACAAGGAGATGCGCTATCACCAATATTGTTCAACCTAATATTAGAGAAGGTAATCAGAGAAACAAATTGTAACAACGGAATATTATTGGGAAACTCGAACAAAAATATCTTGGACGATATAGCGATATTAGGAGATACTGAAGAATCTGTTAAGCGAGTATGCAGGAAACTCATCATGATGGCTAGTAAGGTTGGGCTGGAGATAAATGACGAAAAAACAGAGTACATGATATTAAGTCGCCAGGATAGAGAATATTGACAAGGACAATCTATGAATCTTGAAGAGCATGTATTTAAAAATGTGATGCATTTCAAGTACTTGGGGCACTTGCTAACACAAGATAATGACCTGAAGATAGAAGTCAGTGCTAGGATACAAAAAGGCAACAAAAGTTTTTTTGGTCTTGGAAAAGTACTGAGTTAAAAAACATTATCAACAAATCTGAAGATACAAATGTACATGACTATGATACGACCCATAGTACTGTACGAGTTGGGTTTGGTTGGGTTGGTATGCCACATGTTGGTAAACATGGCCACTTAGAAAAGCAGAAGAAACTAGAATGACCGAAAACCAAAAAAAAAAAAAGATAGTATATATTATATATATTACGAGTTTGACAAAGGAGAACATGAAGTGAGTGAAATGAGGAGATCAGTTTTATATGTTTAAAAAAAGGTTTATATTTTTTATTACGTTGTGTTCTTAACAATTGGTGCCAGAAGTAAGATATTTTGAATACATATATTTTTAAATTAGGTTTTTTTTTTAATTTTTCTTTTATTCAGTCATGCCAAAAAGACACGTTCGTAAAACATTGGTGAAGGATAAAAAACAGAAGTTACTACAATGTAAGAAAAAATTGCTATACAGTTAACTTATGTGGAAAAGAAAGCTGATATACGGACCGAAGAATTGGGACAATGTATAAAGAAAGGTTTGAGTTTCCGAGTAAATGAATTACAGCCTAACGTTAACGAGGTAATAAATAATTTTGCTCTTTTGTGGGAGGAAAACAATAAGCGTATACTGGAATTGGAGAAGGTCGTAAAAAAGGAGAGAGGTAATACTGTCGGCAATGTAATTTGCTTAATTTACCTCACCTGTCTAACCATTCTTTTCTTAACACAGGTGTCGTTTCAAGTTTTCACGGATGGTATAAGTGGCGCAGATACGAAGGTACGACGAGTTGTTGTGGATAAATCGTCTAATGTTTTAGAGCAACTGAATGACCTGTTGGCTAAGATTAACCTGAAACCCCAAAGAAAAAGACTTACAAGCGTAATTTTAGACCGGAATGAAAGCAGTGTGTTCCAAAATCATACAAGAGTAAACTTGTGCAATTATCAAAATTAAATCTAGTCAACGTTGGAGGCGTACACTGGCTAAAGTACTAAAGTCCCATTTTATTAGGATATTACAAATAGATAGAATCCCCGTCTACATATATACGTAGAGGGGAACCTAAATGATCGATTGGTGCTCATATTGATAGACACTGGAGCAATTAGATCTGTTATACTCTCGGTCATATTAAAGAATTGTTTAATTCGGCCTTTGATGAAGCCACCAAGGCTAATAACAGTTACTGGTGAGATAGCCTATATGTAATATATATATTATATATACAGAGAGGTAAAGTTGACCGTGTGCATAGGTTCACGTCAAACTAACTATTTGTTAGAGGTATCAGACATAACAGAAGATTACCTTTTGGGTTTAGACTTATAGTCGTGTGACATTATGGTAGATATAGACAGCCAGAAATTACGATCTGAAAACGGTCAAGTCAACTTAAAGCAATTTTTAAAAGTCGAAGTTCACACGAGAAGAATAGTGATACAGAAAGATTAGGGTGATTTGAAGTTCAACAAAATATTAATGGCATCTTAGTCTTTCAGAAAAACGTCAGTTAATAGCTGTTGAGGTATTAAAAGAGTTTTATGATGTCTTGAATAGAACTTTCGGTCGTACAAGACCTCCATTATTTTAGCACAGGTACACTGCTCAAGCGATTAAGCAGAATCCTCTGTGATTACCACTTACCAAAGAAGATGAATTTTCTAGGATGACTGAATAAATGATAACTCAGAATGTGATAGATCCAGCGAATAGATCATGATCTTCGTTTGTAGTGTTAGTCGAAAAGAAGAATGAAACTTACTGCTTTAGTGTAGACTTCATAAAATGAATGAAATCACTAAGGACAGCTCTCTTTGCTAAGAATGGACTATGGGATGAATATTTTAGGTGGTTTACAATGATTTTATAAAATATATTTAAAAAACAGGTACTGGAAAGCGGCTAAATTCGTTGAATAAGGAATAAACTATATTTTCTACCAGATACGGTTTATGGCAATTTACAGTCATGACGTTTGAGTTTAATAATGCCGCCGCCACTTTTGAAATATTAATGGAAATAGTACAAAAAGGGATGACGTGAAAAAAATGCGTGCTCTACCTTGACAATGTATTGAACGAACTTTTGAATTAAACTGCAATTACTAAAAGGAGGTACTCAAAAGGTTAAAAATCACCAATTTAAACTATATGAACAAATCGTTTTAAAAATATATCTAAGTAATTAAGAAAACTATTGAACATTTTAATAAAAATTTTATTAATAGCATAAAATCAATACATAGCATATTTATATACAAAAAAGAAAAAAATACAATATCAAAATTTTGATTTTTTTTTTTTGATCGCATGAAATGGAATTAAAATAAGTAGTAGTAATATTACATAAAACATTTAATTAAGTAAACAGTAATTCATTAATTGAGTGCAAAGGTTTTTTTTTTAATATAGCTATTGGTAGTTAATGAACTTATAATAAATATATTAAAGCTATTGAGATATCAAAAATTCCGTTAATTGGTTTTTTGGCTTGATAACTATAATTGCAACCCAACCAAATAAAGCTCCATAACATCTACAACAATTCAATGCACTCCATGTTTCTGAAATTTTTGTTTCAACTTTGTTGCCAGACATAACTGCTGTATCATAAGTTGTACAAGCAAAGGCTGCTAAAGCTGTCAATACATTCAAAAATAGCACCTAAAATAAAATAAAATATATAACTCAAAAAATATATTTATGTTATTAAATGTATAATTTTAACATATTTTGTTAGTAAAAAAAAAAAAATTAATCAATCAGTACCATTTCTAGGTCCCCTCAATCCTATTAACTGCAATATGGGACAGAATCCCTCTCTTCTATATTTTACAGGGGTGCAAAACAGTATAGGCTTATTATTAAATACAACTAAAAACTCGAGATGTAAATAAGAGGGATTATTGAACCCCTCGAAAAATAAAGTTAAGTTTATAGTATTGAGTAACCAAAGAAAAATTTTTTTTGAATCTCCTCTTTAAATGAAATTTTACCAAAAATTTTGTTTTCAAATATCAGAATCAACCATTCAGATATATGAATTTAAAATGCATGGATCAGCATTAAATTTATATAGGTTATACTATAGAGTCTAGAATTTATTGTATTAAGTCCAAACAAATTTTTTTGAAAACCGAATTTTTAACAACATCAGTAATATTTTGTTTTAGAAGTTGGAATATAACTATATCAAGTCAAATTTTTTTTTTCATGTCAACAATCTAAATCCTTTTTTACATCCCAAATTCTGATCTTATTTAAAAGATATTAATCGTATTTAAACTAAATTGTATGCAATATGATTTAAGTTTAAAGATATGTTTTATCAATATATATTCTATATAGGGGTTGGATTAAAATAATATAATAAAAAATATTCGTTTAATTTGTATAATAATTGAGTTTAATGTTATTCAACATTTAAATATTATAAAATTTTTATATCTAATCTTTTTAATAAAAAACTTTTATTTGATTTTTTTTATTTAAGCAATCTAATTTACAACCAATTTAAGAATTATTTTATATTATAACTTTTAAGTAGTATTAGATTTTATGATATTTTATTTATTTATCTAATCATGTTTAACATACTCTCTAAAAGTTATTTCTTGTGATGAAAATAATGAGAAAACAAACATTTTACATCAATTAATATCACATATTTTTTATTTTTGACTACGTTTTGACAGTATTTTTGGTTTTAAGCTAAATGATTATAATGTATAATTGGCTTTCTTTATTATAAATTTCAAAAATTATTTGATTTATAAGTTTATAGAAATGTAGAAGGACCTAGAAGCAACAATAAGAAGCAAGGCACCGGCAATGTGCCAAGTTACAGTTTCATACAATGACATTGAAACCAACTATGGAGTATAGTTCTCTAGATTATTTAATTCTGAGATTATGTTATAAAATGTTCTTGATTAATATTTCTTTTGTTATCAACCTTATGAGAAATTCAGAACTTAAGGATTAAATATAATCACCATGTAGCTTAAAATGTAACATTTCATCAAAATAGTGACACCAGGATTGAATCCAGTGGAGGATACAAGGGACAAATATTGGTGTCATGACTCTCCAAAATGCAATATGGAGCAATATAATAATTTATTTACTAGTTTCAGAATCTAGTTTACTAGTTTAAGAGATGTTATTAAATGTGATATGAGGACGGCTGATATAAGCGTAGATATTGTGGGAGATCATATCAAATGGAAGTTTAGGATAAAGGTGGCTGACCCCATGTATTTGGGATTAAGACGAGGAAAAATAATAAGATTTACTAACTTCATAATCACATTATTTCTGTAAATTGTAATGTTAAAAAATGTTAATCTTCTTTTATTGGTATATTGGAGTTTAAAAAAAGAAAATGTTTTTGATGTTCAAATTCAGTAAAATAATCACTTTCAAAAAAATTTCTGGTCATGTGTCTGGCTCAATCTCAAATCCATTTTTTCCTTTGTTTCTGATTTTTTTTTACAACTGATTTGTACACCAATCAACTTTCAATATTATTTTTAATTGGTATTAAAACATATTGTAGTATTTTTTTAATCAAAAATAAATATCTTCTCTCCCCTAAGAAACTTCCTATAATACTCATATATTTTAAACATTTTCTCTTTGTACCATTGTCAATATATCACAATAATTGTAATAATTCAAATTATTATGAAAAAGTTCTTTATTATTTCAAAATTTACTGCTTTATGTAGAACTAAACATCTATACGTAATTAATTGACATAAAATTACACTTACTATTATATATTTTGATTTAAAGCTCTTGCATTTGTTTAAATCGAATATATCCAAAACTGTCCATAAACATACAGCTGATAATAGGAAAAAAAACATCAATATTAATGGTGACCCCTCAGAAGGTTCACCTAGAAATAGCTGGGTAAATGCAATTCCAGCTAAAATACCTTGACTGATGGTGCCAAATGATTCACATAAGTGTTGAATTTTAATGGCTATGAGTCTAAGATTGTTGGATTTATCAATTAAATGAATTTGATTTTTATTTTTAAATAAACTATGTTGGTCACTTTTAATGAAACGATTTTTATCTTGTACATATATAACAATTTTATTAGCATCATTAGTGTTTAAAGGATGATGCGGTGAAGTAGTAATAGGATTTGTATGAACATCTTCTTTGACTTCTTCCAGAATCGCTGCAACTGTATTTGGATCAGACGCCATTTCTCAAAAAATAATATCTAGTACAAAATTACAAAAATATTAACATATTTTTTATTTATTCCAATACCTAATAATTTAGTTTTAGGTTTGACACTAATTCACCAATAAAAAAATGAGCATGTACTTCATCATTTTTTTTTTTAATTCCCATTTAATTTATATGCCTATAATTCATTTTAAAACTAAATCCAATCATATTATTACTGAACATACTAGTAATTGTTCACATCTAATTATTTATATGATACATACCATATAAACATGAGTTAATTATATTTATTTCATCATTATACAACATTTAGTCATAAAGTACTTCAGTAGTCATAAAGAAGTTCCAAAAATATATTTAAAACAGTTCATTTCTTTACATAAAAATATAGATTTATAATTTAATTATTTTTATATAATTGAATATATGATCATTCCAAAAGATCTCCAACTAAACGAAAATTAATGATTATGTTAAAAATTATATGTGTACATTGTTATTAATTAGTAATTTGAATTGAACTTTTCAAATTATTTTATTGTAAAATTAACTTAAAAAATACATTTTATTTAAATCCACCTTAGTGTAAACACAGATATATATATATAATAAAAAAATAAATAAATGTTTATTATCTATCTTTGTGATGTTAAATTAATTATGATTAGATAAGACCTATTATAATGATAACAAAATTTGAATGAAATTTTTTTAATCTCTTTGAAAAAGAAAAGGTTGACGTGTGTGATAGCATTGCATTTGCTGTGTATACAATTTTTTTAAATTATTAGACGTTTAATGTTTAAGAAATATATCTTCTGTGAAGTTTAGTTAACATTTGTGAAGTAATATTTCATAACTTTTGTTGCAAAAAAATGTTTGACAATCTATTTATCTGGAATTGGCATATGGTAAGAACTTGATAATTATAATTATTTATAAAAATGGCTGATTTTAGTACTATAAATTGAATTACAAAATTATTTTGTTTTTTAATATTTATAGTTATATAATTTTAATACCAAACTTTTTATTAAACTTTTTATGTTAAATAAGAAAATATAATATGGTCTTGATAAATAATTAATCCATCATTTTTTAAGGATTTTGTAGGTCAAAAACATGCAGAATATTTATTCAGAACCATTATAACTTTATGTGGAGTAAGTTATTTCTGAATAAATTTTTTTTTAATTTATTAAAATGTACAATTTTTTTTAGGTTGTTGGATTTGTTTTAGGATATATCAAAGAACAATTTTCAATTACAATTGGTTTGACATTATTAGGATTTTTAGTATCTGCTATAGTATGTTATATACTTTTACATGCATTATTTTCAAAAATAAAATGTTTTTATTTTTCTAATGATTACTTTTGAAAAACTTAAGATATGTGATACTTGAAATTTTAAATGAATAGTAAAGATTTTTTTTTTACCAAATTGATTTTTTATAAATTTACACTAGTTCTGTAATAAATAAAAAAAAATGTTATGTTAGAGATGAGCTTAAACAGATCCAAGTTATATATATATATATCAAAAAAACTTTATTCAAATAAATAAATTTTTAAATAATCTAGAACTACATAGTTCTTAAATGGCTAATAGAATAGAGTTGAAGATCATCTTTTATTAGGGATGGGTCTAATATTTAGTGTTCAGCTAATATTTAGGAGTAATCTACATTCGGCTACTTAATGTGCCATGACTATTCAGTTAAATTTTATTTGACTTAATAGTTTACTTTTTATGTTCATATCTTATAACTAAAAAGAAAACAAACTTATTTCTTTTTAAATGGAAGCATACATATTTTCACAATAAAAAATATTTTATATAATATTTGAAATAGAAGCATAATCTAAAAATCACATGTTCTAATCCTATATGCTAGCTTTTTTTTACACAAAATCTTTCCGGTACAATTTCTATGACCAGTTATCTATCCCTGGCGGCTGAGTTAAAAATATAATAGTAGTTGATAAATATTGTAAATTGAATATTTGGTTATAAATACTGAAAAATATCAACTTAAAAAATAATCTAATTTTGTGTATTGATAAAAGATATTTGGTTTTCCAAACTTTTAATTTTAATAAACTCTCTCTTAATAAGTTATTAATATTTTTTGTGAAACTTTTAATTTACTAAAAAAATTTGCATCATATATATTGGATACGCAGTCCTTTAAATTTAAATGCTTAGTTAGCATTTGGGAAGGAATTGTTTTTCATTAATGTAAATTATTACTCTTCAGACTAATTTTAAGAATGCATTATTTAATTTTTAATGATTCAAGAAATAATATCTTTTCATAAAACACAAGTGACTTAATTTTAATAAATTAAAATAAACCAATTTTTAATTTTTTTTGTATTAAATCCGGTTTTATGATAGATTATTCAAATATTTGTATTAATAAACCCATTAACAATAAAAAAATATATTATTTTGTAATTTTTCAGTTAACCATACCTCCATGGCCCTTTTATGCTCTTCATCCACTTAAATGGCAAAAAGTTAAAAAAACAGTAAAAAAAAATGATACTAATGAAAACAAAGAAGAAAAAGACAAAAAAAAAAGAAAGAAAAGTAATTAATTGTATATTTGTTTTATACTGTTTTCCTATCATATGTTTATAAATTATATATTGTTTGGATTAATAAACTTAAATTGCCGTAACAATGTTTTTGTTTTTTATTTTTAAATTTTCATAATTTTATAAATAAATAATTTGTTCTCAAGCATATAATGAATTTAATATCGAAAATGGTTTGTGATATCAAGCAAGGAAAACCTTTAGATTTTTCATTTAATAATTTGAAAACATTATCTAGTAAACTTTGATAAATAAATGTAAATTTTGTGGATCCTCATTCTATCAACTAATTTTTTAGAACTAATAGATGAAAAGCCAAAATCATTACGTGTAAGAGGGATTCCCAGTCGTGGACCTAATAAAAGATTTTTATGTGGAACTATATGGTTAAATAACAACAATCTTTCTAATTTAACTGGATTAAAAGATATTGTTTATGAACTTATTGAACTTCCATTTTATTTATACTGGCTTGATGTTTCATTTAATGAAGTGACACATATTAATGAAGTAAACATAGACAAGTATACTATTTACTACATGTAAACAGTTATTTTCTCTATTATTCGTATTTATTAATATATGTAAATATGACCCTGGATATTAAAACCTAATATTATATACATATATATTTTTTTTTCACATTTAACATTTTATATTATAAAATGTTAAAAATATTTAACACAGAATAAGTAATCATAAATTCTTAAGATCGACTTCTATATATTGAGGGACCTGGGGTTAGACTTTTAATTTTTTTAATTGTAAAGAATAATTTTATTACAACACAATTAAAAACTTATGTTGATACAAAAATTAATAGTAATAGTATAACAATGATTTGTTTAAATTTAATTTACCAATCAGGTGGAATACAAGACTCAGTACATTTTCTTTATAGAGTAATAGCGGTCTACTCGTGGGTCCGGGTTATTTATTTCAGACATAGACCATAGTACAAGATCTATGATTTTAGAGTGATTCACTATTTTAAGATAATTGGTAACGCTTTCTGGTTTTTATTGTTTATTCAAACAATTTTAGGCACTACTTAATGGTTTTTTTTTTAATTAGACCATCATATTTAAATGTTCACCAAATTCTTTCATCCTTGCATATGAAAGATACAATATTTAATTGAAAAATATTTATACTATATAAGTTATACTACAAAGAATTTTACTTGGAATACTATTATTATTTTTTTAATTTCGTAATATGTAATACACGAGTACTTATCCAAAAAAATTTAATTTTAGTTTTATGATTTCAAAAAAAATAAATAAAAGAATATTAATATAGTAGATGACATACAGTTTATTAAAGAATCAATCAATTACAAAGCAGATAATTAACAATAGATCAGTAAATCATTTCAGATACATGTTAATATTTATTTTGTCCGTTTTTCCTAAAATCTATCCATTTATAAAAAGATATCTTTTTCTTTTATTCATTAGATTCACAATTAAATTCAGTTAATTTTAATATTTTCAGGAGATATTTCATTTTGTAAATTTACAAATATTATACTTGCATGGCAATAACATAAAAGATATGACTGAAGTTTCAAAACTAAAAAAACTTCTCAATTTGCGATCATTAACTCTATATGGTAATATGATATCCAGAATCCGTCATTATCGTGCATATGTACTAGTATATCTACCACAAATTAAAAAGTTGGATTTTACAATAATTACAAGAGAAGAGAGATTGGCGGTTTCGCCAGCTGGTACTGGTACAGATGTATTAGTCAATTTTTAAGCATTACTAACTTATGAAATTAATTTAAATTTTATTATGTAATCAAAATTTTAATAAAACAAATTTATTGAAATAAAAGTTGCATTAGTACAGTTTGAATAATTATCAGTGAAACTGACCAGTCTTCTTAAGAGGGTGACGTTAGTGTGTGAAAGGGGTTGATACACCCTCTACTTGGCAAAATTAAATTATTTTAGTTGACAGCTTTTTTAACACATGAAGATGCTATAAAAAAATAATTAAAAAATAGATAGCACAATTTAAAAAAATGATTTATTTGACAAAAGTAAACTTTACATCCCCTCCCTGATATCGTCCGTTTCAGGACGGCCTTGATATTGACTTATTTATCATATGTATTAGTATCATTATTAATTTTCTTTAACATCAAAGTTCAACCAGGTAAGAACATTAAAAAAACGGTAACACTGTGGGGTCGCGGCACAGTATGGACGTGGCATAGTTGGGACAAGTATAGATGATATCTGGCAGCGATTTAAAATCACTATCATAAGAAACGCTTCGATGCAAATTTGTAGATAGTGTTTAATTTTAAGAAATTGGTAATTATTTCAAAAGCAACAATAACTCTTATTCCCTTAATTTTATCCTGATTAGTTATTTGATTTATAATTATAATATATGAATAAATAATAATTATAGTAATTAAATTTAGTATGAAATTGATATTCAATAATTTAATATTGTAATTTTTACGGAGATATAATAAAAATAATAAAGTAATAGTATATTTCTTTACTTTTAATGCGTATAAATATTTAAAGAGCTTGATGCAATACTTTTAAATAAAAAATATTTGTTACTTATAACAAAGTTTTATACAAGGAACTTTCATCAGAAACAAAAATATACTTTTCTAAATCAATTTTTCGCGATGTTTTCAAATGTGCAATTAAACTTCTTCTGTCACTTTTAAGTTTTAATATTATTACTTATTATTAAAAAATAAGTATTTACATCTTCTTCTTCTCTACTAAAGGCCTTGCCTTGTTGTTGCAAACCTGGTTCTCCATTATTTTCTGTTAAAAGCCAGTCTTCTCATGTCTATGTATCGACTACAGTCAACTTGTCTTATCATTTCATCTATATATGCTTTCCTCGGTCTACCTTTACCTTTGTATCCATTTATTCGTCCTTCAAATATATTCGTTATAAACGAATTGTGCCTTAATAGGTGCCCGAACATTTTTCCACGTCTTTTTCCGATTCAGACACTAAAGCAATATCATCTGCAAATCGTATACAGTGTATTTTTTCTCTATTTATGCTTATTCTTTTAGAATTTCTCTTAAACTTGTCTATGATTTCTTCTACAAATAAATTGAACAGATAAGGTGATAAAGAACAACCTTGTCTTACCCCTCTTCTAATTTTTGCTGTTGCACTATGTTCTCCCACCTCTATTAAGATCTCTTGTTTCTTGTATAGTAACATTATTACTCTTCTGTCCCTCCAATCAATTCGAGTTCTTTTCATAGAGTTCATCAATAAAGCCCAGTTAACTGTGTCAAAGGCTTTTTCTAGATCTATAAAAGTTATAAATGTATTTCTATTTACATTTAACCTTCTTTCGGTGATTACCCTTAGAGCTAAAATTGCTTCTCTTGTACCAACTGCCTATCTAAACCCGAATTGGTCTTCATCAAGCTTCTCTTCGGTTTTTGTCCTTATCCTATTTTAGCTTCGATGCGAAGCTGAGAAGGTATTGGTTTTACTAAGATGTGTTTTTTTTTTTATTTTTTTTTTTTTTTTTTTCTGTTACCACTTTATCACAGCTCTCACCAAACGGATTTCTTTCAACGATACATCAAAAGATCACAAATCGTATCTAGTCGAAGACATTACCCTTAAAAATTGAAAAAAATTCCCTCGTTCCCCGTAAAAGGGGGAAACCTCCAAAAAAATTACAAATTTAAAAATCGCTAATTTTCGAAATTTTTTCAATTTTTTTTACTTAAAAGTGCCATAACTTTTTCAAAAATAAACATATCAATATAATTCTTTTTTATATAGATGCATAATATCATTACCTTTCATTTGGTATATTTTTTTCATAAATTTAACCCTTAACCTGCCCACAAGGGGGGATTTAAAATGACAACTTTTTCACAAAAAATTAATTTTTTTAACTTAAATTTTGAAAATGTTCCGGAAGGTCTGACACTTTTATATATATCTTAAATTAAAGCTAATGTAATATGCTTTATCATGAAAAAAAAAAATTTCGGACTTTATCTTATCTTCATGGTGAAAATGGCTACCGAATGCTATTTTTGTGTGAAAATTTTCGATTTTGTATTTTCCATTTTTAACTTTATTATGCTATAACTTTTTGAAAAATGTATGAATCATTACAATTTTTTTATGAGAAGTAGTATTTATATAGATCTTTCATTCGACATACTGTTTTTTTAAATCGGACCATTTCCCTAAATACAGGGGGGATTCAAAACATAAAAATGCATATAGAAAGTAGAACTTTTTCAACGTAACTTTTGAAAGTGTTCCGGAAGGTCTGACACTTTTATATATATCTTAAATTAAAGCTAATGTAATATACTTTATAATGGTAAAAAAAAATTTCGGACTTTATTTTATCTTCATGGTGAAAACAGACATTAAACTTAATAAAAAAAATACGATTTTTGTAAAAAAATTCTTTTTTATATTTTTAACTTTATAATGCTATAACTTCTCGAAAGATGTATGGATCAATATAATTCTTTTTTTTGTAGATGCATGATGTCTTTACCTATCATTTGGTATATTTTTTTTATAAATCTGACTTTTTACCTGCCTACAGGGGGGGATTCAAAATGACAACTTTTTCACAAAAAATTGACTTTTTCAACTTAAATTTTGAAAGTGTTCCGGAAAGTCTGACACTTTTATATATATCTTAAATTAAAGCTAATGTAATATACTTTATCATGGAAAAAAAAAATTTCGGACTTTATTTTATCTTCAAGGTGAAAATGGCTACCAAATGCTATTATTGTGTGAAAATTCTCAATTTTATTTTTTACATTTTTAACATTATAATGCTATAACTTATTGAAAAGTGTATTGATCAATATAATTTTTTTATGGGAAATACTATTTTCTAATAATCTCTTTTTTATTCGACATACTTTTTCTTAATCAGGATATTAATAAGGAACTAGCAGTTTATGAAGCTTTTGGAATAATCCACCAATTTTTTAAAATTAAACACTATCTAAAGATTTGCATCGAAGCGTTTTTTTTTGATAGTGATTTTAATCACTGTCAGATTTCATTATACTTGATCCAACTATGCCACGTCACCACTGTGCCGCGACCCCCCTGTGCTGGGTTTTTTTTTTTAAATTACAACTTATTCTAAAAATCTACAATTTTTTTGTTGCAATGATAAAATATTTTTCATAACAATAATTAAACCTGTATCAATTTATAAAAACATATTTTCATATTGACAAAGACTCCAAATTTAATAAATTATTAATCAATTTGATATTTTTTTTTCTTGTCTTGAACAATAATTATTTACAAGAATAATTATTTTATTCGTATTTATAAAACATTATCATAACCCATTGATAGAATTTCTCTATCAAAATTGATTTAGGTTTTTCTTTGGGTGAATGGATTTTTATAAATTATGATCAAATTTTTTAATAGGCTCAATTGAGTAGATCTTTTTAACAATTTGTTTTTTTAGTTAAAGTGAATCATTAAAATAAATTCAGTTCATATTTCAATTGTAGGATCTTTTTAAACATCAAAAGTTACATAGAAATGTTTACTATGATTTCTATTAAAATTATTTAATATGATAAGAATGTAAAAAAAAAATTGTGGTTTTAATAAATTATAGAGCTTTTTTCATAAATTAAATAATAATTATAACATTTCACAAAAATCAATTTTAATGGACCAAAAAATTAAGTTAAAAATGGCATTTTATCTGTATAAATTACAATATTAAATTATTGAATATCAATTTCATAAAAAATTTAATTACTATAATTAGTATTTATTCATATATTATACTTTTATATCAAAGAACTTCTAATCAGAATATAATTAAAGAAATAGGAGTTGATGTTACTTTTGTAATTATCCACCAATTTCTTAGAATTAAATACTCTCTACAGATTTGCATCGAAGCGTTTCTTATGATAGTGATTTTGGCACAATTATGACTGTTTATTTAAAATATAATTTTGATACTTCGTTTTTTAAAACCATATGGTAGGGTTTTGAATTGTACTCAGCTCTCTTAAATGGTCGTTTTTAACGTAATAATATTATAAAATATATGATTTAAAAACAGTGTTCAAAAATTAATTAAACAAAAAAAAACCAATCACAGGGGGGTCGCGGCACAGTGGTGCCGTGGTATAGTTGGATCAAGTATAATGATTAGTGATGGGCATAATCGAGTATTTCGATTATTGAATTCATATTTATTATATAATCGAGATATTCTGATTTTTTAAATAAATAATATTAGAATAATATTGATTATTCTATAATCGAGTGATTATTTCTAGTGATTTCTCGTTTATTATAAAAACAATGATTTCTTGATCTTGAAATGTATATAATCGAATAAAAGTTATTTCGAATGATGTCCATGAAACGATGAAACGAGAGAATACTATTTTTAAGTTTTTATTTAGCATAAATTATAGTCGAATTATTATTAAATTGTTGACTTCGAGTCTTATTTTCAACTCGTTCAATCGCTACTCATGGCAACACCTTATCTGTCACATTTTTGGGAAGTATGTGACGATTAGAACAAAGTTTTGTCCTGAACTGGCTAAACTACTGAGTTCTGATTCTCTCACTAGTTGTGAATTTATGAAAAATCAATTAGGTGTGGAATTAGGTGTTTTAATTATGATGGTCAAGCAGGCTATTGCTACCTTATCTTATGTTTTTATTTTTAAATTTGTTATCGGTTTTTTTAAAATATAGGTAATAATTATTAAATAAAAAAAATAACAACTTGTCTTTTATTTAAAGCACTTATTAATAATGCATTATTAATATATTATTGTTATTATTATTCCTAAATTATAGTTTAATATATTAATTATAAATAAACACCAACAAATAAAAAAAGCAAAATTAAATTAATAATTATTTACTATAGGTATATTTATTCATATTTCGAATAATTTTTCGATTCTCTCGATAAATAATAATAGTTGATTATTCTTATCATACGAGCAGACGATTTTAACTTCGAATGATTTTTCGAGAGATTCACTCGATTATGAAAATGTCTCGATTACTAATCATTCGATTATGCCCATCACTAATAATGATATCTGACAGTGATTAAAATCACTATCAAAAATAAACGCTTCAATGCAAATCTTTAGATAGTGTTTAATTAAAAAAAAATTGGTGTTTTATTCCAAAAGCTACATGATCTGCTAGTTCATTATTAATATCCTAATTAAGATAAAGTATGTCGAATGAAAAAGGGATTATTAAAAAATATTATTTCTCATAAAAAAATTGTGTTGATCCATACACTTTTCAATAAGTTATAGCATTATAAAGTTAAAAATGTAAAAAATAAAATCGAGAATTTTCACACAAAAATAGCATTCGGTAGCAATTTTCACTGTGAAGACAAAATAAAGTTCGAAATTTTTTTTTTATAATAAAGTACATTACATTAGCTTTAAATTAATATATATATATAAGTGTCAGACCTTCCGGAACATTTTCAAAAGTTAAGTTGAAAAAAATAATTTTTTGTGAAAAAGTTGTCATTTTAAATCCCCCCTTTGGGCAGATAAAGGGTCAGATTTACAAAAAAAATATACCAAATGGTAAGTAAAGATATCAAGCATCTATATAAAAAAAAATTATTGTACAAAAATCGTAATTTTTTATTAACTTTGATGTCTATTTTCATCACGAAGACAAGTCCAGACGTCAAATTTTTTTTTTCAAATTAAAGTATATTATATAAGCTTTAATTTAAGATATATATAAAAGTGTCAGACTTTCCGGAACACTTTCAAAAGTTAAGTTGAAAAAGTTCTACTTTATATATGCATTTTTTATATTTGAAGCCCCCCCGTATATAGGGAAATGGTCTGATTTAAAAAAAAAGTATGTCTAATGAAAGATCTATATAAATACTACTTTTCATGAAAAAATTGTATTGATCCATACATTTTTTAAAAAGTAATAGCACTTTAAAGTAAAAAATGTAAATTATAAAATCGAGAATTTTCACATAAAAATAGCATTTGGTAGCCATTTTCACCATGAAGACAAGTTCAGAGGTAAAATTTTTTTTTTTTTCAAATTAAAGTATACTACATTAGCTTTAATTTAAGATATATATTAAAGTGTCAGACCTTCCGGAACATTTTTAAAAGTTAAGTTGAAAAAGTTGTCATTTTAAATCCTCCCTGTGGGCAGATAAAGGGTCAGATTTACAAAAAAAATATACCAAATAATAAGTAAAGACATCAAGCATCTAAAAAAAAAAAAAATTATATTGATATGTTCATTTTTGAAAAAGTTACGGCAGTTTTTAGTAAAAAAAATTGAAAAAATTTCGAAAATTAGCGATTTTTAAATTTGTAATTTTTTTGGAGGTTTCCCCCATTTACGGGGAACGAGGGAAATTTTTTCAATTTTGAAGGGTAATGTCTTCGACTAGATAC